AACTCTTTTACATTTGCTCTACCTGAGGTAACAGACAAATGATTGATGTATTTAAAAAATGAAAAACACATTACAGGAAATTTAATTTAATAAACCGTGTTCATTTTTGTGTGTGGAAAAGTAAGTATATTAATTTTGAGGATATTGATAATTGAAACGTGTAATGTTAAAGGCATCTTTGTAAGTACATATAGTAACGGGTTTTTTTACCTTACTGTTTGCTGTTTGAGTAAATCTTATTATATTCTGTATACAAAATATAATTCATGAGTAAATGATCTTAATACTGTTATATTCAGCTTTCATTCTCGGTTAATAAAGTTCGGAAAAAGATTTACCAGTGTAAACTAGCGATAAAAATTTTTAAAATATCGGACATAAAGTGTTCTATCCGTGGTTGATATCACTTGTTATTGTATGCCTCACGATTACAGGTGCTCTTGATCTATATAGCTGGGATACCATGTAGCGCTCCATGACCTTGATCGGACTGTTTAAAGTGTTCTATACGACTCAAAACTCGTCAAGGAACACCTGATTTCTTCTTATTATGTTACAACAAGAAAATGAGCCTTGTTTTACACCGTCTTTTAGCAATATTCCAGCAATATCACGGCGGGGGACACCAGAAATGGGCTTCACACATTGTACCCATGTGGGGAATCGAACCCGGGTCTTCTGCGTGTCGAGCGATCGTTTCAACCACAAAGCCACCCCACCTTCCCGTTATAATCTGTGATGGTATAACATATTAACTAATAGAAATTTGAAAGCATTAGCGTTTAAACGGCCTCAAAATTACCCACGTTTATTAAGACTCCAGCAAGTTAACTTAAACCTTCGAAAGTCCTCGTACTACGGTCTCTTTGTGAAACAGAAGCCCACTTTCATTCCAAATTTTACTGCTCATCGTGGCTCAGTGTATATGGTGCACATTGGATTATAGTGAACTTAGATACTCGTTCCAAGTTCCTCTCAACGCTGCGATGTTCAAAGGCATCTTCTTCGATCGAATAAAATGGTATTTACATAATCTGAGCATGAACTGGTTAACGCTTATTTCAAACTTAATTTGGCTTAATTCATAATTGATATTAATAATGTCGATTACAGATCAACTGCTCCAATATGCAGTATTAATATCTCATATGCGAGGCGTTTAGTGCTCAATTTACTTAAGTTAAAACGAACTGCTGGCAATAAAGTAATTTGCCGTTATAGAAAACGACAATTCCCACTTCAATTTTCCTAATGATGAAGATGGGCACATTAATCTTCCCACAATTATCTGTTACACTTCAAAGCTTGTATCAAACTGTCAGTCAACAGGTCTCGATAAATCAACTGTGATGTTATGTCGAGAAATCGCTCATCATAGAAGTTTCTACATCAACGCGTTCCCGTTTTTGTTCAGTTGTCAAATGTTTGAATAATATTCTCTGAGATGTATGATTCTGACACTTCAACAAGTACGATTTTTATATAATTTGTTTTGTGGCAATGACGCCTTTCAGGAAGTCATTCGTATGGTGCATGGCTGGCGAGCGTTGCCACCCCGGGTCGACCGCTCAATAATTCGTCAGGCACTTACACACTTTCAAACTTTCAAACTTTAGCAATCAATTTGTGTTTAAGTGTCGATTCAAAATTAGCCGTAATAAGGTTAAAATGGATTACTAATCAGATTTGAATCCGAATATTTAGGGAATGAGGCGGAATTCGTTAAATTTTACAAATATATTGTTTATATTGGTCAAAGTAAAGTACATTTAGTCTCTGAAATGAATATATCTTACAGAAAAACACAGTTCGTAAATTATCTATATGCAATATAATGAGTCCAGAGACTTTCTCCATTTTCGGAAACTGCATAAATATAGACTTGCCACAAATTATAGACTTGCATGGGCTTTTGGGGATATATTTGTTCCAGGGTCTGTACTGTAGACTGTGGTTAAGGCATTTGTAACATATGCGGAAGGATTTGATTCATGTCATATATAGCGTTGGTTAGGACTGTGTATGGCGGTATCTGATTAATACAAACTACAGACAGTATCGAACACAGGTGTGGACCTTCTTCATCTGTAGCACCACGCCCCCTCCCCGGGGGACAATAAAATAGGAAGTCGTGGGTCGGGGACATGAGAAAGTGAACAAAATATATATTATGGTCTTATGCCTTTTTACATTAAAATAAGAAGCACCATACCTAATGATCCGGGTTAGAATCGGTCTACATCAACCCATATTTATCGTAAGAAGCGACTGACGGGATCGGGTGGTCAAGTTCACTGACTTGGTTGACATATGTCACCCAGGGCTCCAGATAAGGGCCGTATCGGCGTATGCACGGATAAAAAATATGCACGATACGGTAGGAAATAATTTAGAAAACGTAGCAGATATGCACCACAGCAATGGTGTACGGTCTTAGAATCATTTACAGACGTATTTATCTGAAAAAAAAGTATTGTTTTATTGTTTATTGACCTGTTTACACAAGAGTAGCAATGTTGTGGTGCATATATGAAACGATAAGAGATTCACGAGATTACTGATAGTCCATTAGCTTCCATTCAGTACTCAATGTACACTTAAGGTTTTCCAGTACTCAATACTGAACAAATAAAGAGTACGTACTCCTGATGTTGAAAAATTATCTGAAGCCCTGGCCACCGTAGTAGCGTAAATCGATGATCATGCAGTCAGCTGATTATTGACAAACCGCCGTCATGTGGCTGGAATACTGCGTTAAACTACAAACATACAAAACAAAACAAATAATGTCGCCATCCATATGTATTTTATAACATTATCCATGTACTGATTACTGCGGTGTGTGAGGTAGTCCAGTGGTTAAAGCCTTGATCCGGGTTCGAGCTCCTAGGTCCCAGTGTGTCAATCTTCCTTATGTCGTCCCCGCAGTAACGTAGATGGAATATTGCTGAAAACATCACACTAACCAACTCATGCCGTATTTACAGGTTTCCCGACAGTTACATACACAGGGCTAATAGACACTAACACCTCATTCTCACTTACGTTCATTGAAAGAGACGCTGTATTTGTTCTGCTAAATTGTTGTCGTTTCCACTTAAAAACATTAACGCTTCTTCTTTCAACAAGCAACAGAAATGTCATTCACAATTTCATTTTTTAAATTTTGACGAAAAGTCATGTAAACGTATATGATAACCACGATTCTAATTGCTTGGTAATTATGATTTTAACCCTATTAGCTGCATTCGTTTTATTGAATTGTATCGACTTGAAAATAGGCGTTGTGACAGACGGTAACTCTACCAACGACACAATCACAGCTCAGTTGCTCAGCGCTACCTGTACAGCCGGCAAGACGTTACCGTTCTATCAGGGCTGCAGTGTTGGGGCGGGTCTTTCCGTGGAGGTGTGTCAGTTGTATGAAGACACGCCCACTTATTCTGTGATATGTTGGAGTATTACGTCATGCAGAGGGGGCTCGACTCCGATTTGTATTCGTATGATTAAGTCTATCGGAATCCGCCATATCCTGTGTGGATTCAGACAGGTCCAGCGTCTCCACAATTAATCAAATTTATTTTGTCAGTAGAATTAAAGTTGCAGTATGTGTGGTAGAACTGTGTTCTGGTGCAGTGTAGGTCCTGTGGCATGTGTGATGTTTACAGAGAAAACTAATCAGGTAGGACACCCCTACATGAGCTGCCATCAGTAAGCTGTCAGTTTATATGGAGGGACTGCCGACCCGGCATCCAGAACATTGTGTATCTGTCTCATATGCTGGCCAGGAACATGGTTTATGAGGATTGTTCGACAGTATTCGTATTAATGTGAAACTCATTAAAGACTTAATCATCAACGTTAAGGGTGCCCTTCTTATCACTGACTGACTGAGTTTAGTTTTACGCCGCTTTTAGCAATATTCCAGCAATATCACGGCGGGGGACACCAGAAATGGGCCCTTCTTATCAGCTTTGGGGAGTGGATGAGAGAGTGGGTGAGAGAGAGGATGGATGGGCGAGAGAGAGGAAGGACGGGTGAGGGAGAGGAAGGACGGGTGAGGGAGAGGAAGGACGGGTGAGGGAGAGGATGGACGGGTGAGGGAGAGATGACGGGTGAGGGAGAGGATGGACGGATGAGGGAGAAGATGGAGGGTGACAGAGAGGGATGAACGGGTGAGAGAGAGAGGATGGATGGGTGAGGGAGAGGATGGACGGATAAGAGAGAGATGGATGGATGGATGGGTGAGGGAGCGGGTGGACGGGTGAGAGAGAGATGGACGGGTGAGGGAGGATGGACGGGTGAGGGAGAGTGGATGGACGGGTGAGGGAGAGGATGGACGGGTGAGGGAGACGGATGGACGGGTGAGAGAGAGATGGACGGGTGAGAGGGAGAGGATGGATGGGTGAGGGAGAGGATGGACGGGTGAGGGAGAGAGGATGGACGGGTGAGGGAGAGGATGGACGGGTGAGGGAGAGAGATGGACGGGTGAGGGAGAGGAGGATGGACGGGTGAGGGAGACGGACGGGTGAGGGAGAGGGATGGACGGGTGAGAGAGAGGATGGACGGGTGAGAGGGAGAGATGGACGGGTGAGGGAGAGGATGGACGGGTGAGGTGAGGAGAGAGGACGGAGATGAGGGAGAGGAAGGACGGGTGAGGGAGAGGAAGGACGGGTGAGGGAGAGGATGGACGGACGGGAGAGGGAGAGGATGGACGGGTGAGGGAGAGAGATGGACGGGTGAGGGAGAGGATGGACGGGTGAGGGAGAGGAGGATGGACGGGTGAGAGAGAGAGAGACGGATGGACGGGTGAGGGAGAGATGACGGGTGAGGACGATGGATGGAGGGTGAGGAGAGGAGAGGAAGGACGGATGAGGATGGAGGGAGAGGATGGACGGTGAGGAGAAGATGGACGGGTGAGGAGAGAGGATGGACGGGTGAGAGAGACAGAAAGATCGTCGTGTCGAAAAGGAAATGAAAGACAAGGATGGAGGGAGAGGATGAATGGATGGTGGAGAGACAGTGGATGGACTTTAATGGAAGAAAGAGAAGATGAGGAATGGATGGATGGGGTGAGAGGAGGATGGATGGGTGGAGAGGATGGACAGGCGAGGGATGGACGGTGGAGAGAGAGGGATGGACGGAAGGAGAGGGAAGGACGGGTGGAGAAAGATGGAAGGGTGACGGGGACGGGTGAGGATGGACGTGGAGAGGGATGGATGGGTGGAGAGACAATGGAGAGAGAAGATGTGAAGGTGGTTCAGGGGAGAGGATGGATGGGGAGGGGATCACGTGAGGGAGGATGTGAGGGGTGGAAGGATGGATGGTGGAGGGGATGGATGGGTGAGGAAGAAGGATGGACGGGGTGGAAGGATGTGGAGGATGAGAGAGGATGGATGCGTGGAAGATGGATGGACGAGGTGAAGGATGGATGGATGAGGGAATGGACGGTGAAGTGGAGGAAGGAGAAGATGGACGGTTGAGAGGAGAGGATGGACGATGGAGAGGTGAAGAAGGATGGGAGGGTGAGAGAGAGAGAGGAGGACGGACAGGAGAGAGGAAGGACGGGTGAGGGAGAAGATGGACGGGTGAGAGAGAGGATGGCGGGTGAGGGACGAGTGATGGATGGACGGGTGAGGGAGAGGAGGGATGGACGGGTGAGGAGGGACGAGAGAGGATGGACGGGTGGACAGGAGAGAGACGGTGAGAGAGAGATGGACGGGTGAGAGAGAGGATGGACGGAGGGAGAAGATGGACGGGTGAGAGAGGGTGGATGGACGGTGAAAGGGAATGGATAAAGGTGAAGGTGAAGAACAGGACAGAAGAACATGGACGGGCGAGGATAAGCCAGACGATTAGAACAGACGGTCCGGTTATGAACATTGTTGCAGGACACGGACGGTCGTTTAAATGAAGTTGTGAAGAAGTTGCGTCCCCGCATCGGTGCCTGGTTCGCTGTTCAAATCGTCGAATAAAGTGAGGCGACGGGATCGGGTGGACGACTGGGTTGACGGCTGTCGGTCGTATCAGTTGGTGGCAGATCGGTACTGGTGATCCAGTTCGAATGAGGTTTTACAGACAGACTGGAACAGGTGGGGCGTAGGCAAACGCGGGTTATAAACACGGTGGAATTGACGGTGAAACGGGGACGTGATGAACAGGATATATAGTAGATCGTATGGAGATCTGATTTCGAAACAGGTTTTGACTGGTTCGTGCAAAATTTGGCGGCAGTTCAAAATTGGCGTTTCGTTAAACTCGGTTTGGTGATTAAGGTTGTTTTGAGAGATAACGGACATGAAATTAAAGAATATCGCTGGAATGCGGACAACGACGGACGAACGCTTGAACCACTGGACTTCATAACGAACGTATGAAATTATGAAGGTGAATAAAACAGGGTTTTGTCATTGCGTATAATGAACAAGTCTCGAAACTGATGAAACGCTGATTGTCTGGGCTGCTGATCCGCAAAACAAGCGTCGCGATCATCGAGGCAAGGAGCTTTTTGAGTCCGCAAAACAATGCTGGTCTACAAAATCCATATCCTCCTTGAGGTATAATATGTTTAAGCCACATGTATCCATGTATTTTGACCGAAGCTGTAAGATCTGAAACAACAATCACCCCAAATCCATATCCTCCTTTGAGTATAATATGTTTAAGCCACATGTATCCATGTATTTTGACCGAAGCTGTAAGATCTGAAACAACAATCACCCCAAATCCATATCCTCCTTGAGTATAATATGTTTAAGCCACATGTATCCATGTATTTTGACCGAAGCTGTAAGATCTGAAACAACAATCACCCCAAATCCATATCCTCCTTGAGTATAATATGTTTAAGCCACATGTATCCATGTATTTTGACCGAAGCTGTAAGATCTGAAACAACAATCACCCCAAATCCATATCCTCCTTGAGTATAATATGTTTAAGCCACATGTATCCATGTATTTTGACCGAAGCTGTAAGATCTGAAACAACAATCACCCCAAATCCATATCCTCCTTGAGTATAATATGTTTAAGCCACATGTATCCATGTATTTTGACCGAAGCTGTAAGATCTGAAACAACAATCACCCCAAATCCATATCCTCCTTGAGTATGTATTTTGACCACATGAAGCTGTAAGATCTGAAACAACAATCACCCCAAATATGTTTAAGCCACATGTATCCATGTATTTTGACCGAAGCTGTAAGATCTGAAACAACAATCACCCCAAATCCATATCCTCCTTGAGTATAATATGTTTAAGCCACATGTATCCATGTATTTTGACCGAAGCTGTAAGATCTGAAACAACAATCACCCCAAATCCATATCCTCCTTGAGTATAATATGTTTAAGCCACATGTATCCATGTATTTTGACCGAAGCTGTAAGATCTGAAACAACAATCACCCCAAATCCATATCCTCCTTGAGTATAATATGTTTAAGCCACATGTATCCATGTATTTTGACCGAAGCTGTAAGATCTGAAACAACAATCACCCCAAATCCATATCCTCCTTGAGTATAATATGTTTAAGCCACATGTATCCATGTATTTTGACCGAAGCTGTAAGATCTGAAACAACAATCACCCCAAATCCATATCCTCCTTGAGTATAATATGTTTAAGCCACATGTATCCATGTATTTTGACCGAAGCTGTAAGATCTGAAACAACAATCACCATATCCTCCTTGAAAATCCATATCCATGTATTTTGACCTTGATCTGTAACAATCACCCCAAATATGTTTAAGCCACATGTATCCATGTATTTTGACCGAAGCTGTAAGATCTGAAACAACAATCACCCCAAATCCATATCCTCCTTGAGTAAAATATGTTTAAGCCACATGCATCCATGTATTTTGACCGAAGCTGTAAGATCTGAAACAACAATCACCCCAAATCCATATCCTCCTTGAGTAAAATATGTTTTAAGCCACATGCATCCATGTATTTTGACCGAGCTGTAAGATCTGAAACAACAATCACCCCAAATCCATATCCTCCTTGAGTAAAATATGTTTAAGCCACATGCATCCATGTATTTTGACCGAAGCTCTAAGATCTGAAACAACAATCACCCCAAATCCATATCCTCCTTGAGTAAAATATGTTTAAGCCACATGTATCCATGTATTTTGACCGTAGCTGTAAGATCTGAAACAACAATCACCCCAAATCCATATCCTCCTTGAATAAAATATGTTTAAGCCACATGCATCCATGTATTTTGACCGAAGCTGTAAGATCTGAAACAACAATCACCCCATCTATCAACAACTATGTCACAGAAGAATCCGCGAGTTTCGACCGAAGCTGAAAGATCTGAAACAATCACACCGTCTATCAACTATGATAATTCGCCCACGTGTTTCAACCCGCGCGGTATGATGTGAAACAATGACAATCACACCTCGCATCATTACGGAAAGGAAATGTCACGTCCCACCTCCGTTGCTTGTATATTTTTTCAAGTCAAGCGCTTTGTTTATGTTTACTCCGACATGGCTGAGCCAGCTAGTGGTCTTTTGTATCCAGCTGTCATTAACACATTTCATACTGTCAAAAGTGACCCAATTGGCCTTCAATCTTTTTTTCCATTAAATTTTCAATTAAATTTTACACTTTTATAAATTTTTGAAGGAATGCTTGTGTTTCCTGTTTCAAGTTGGTCAATGAAGCCGTATAGTCTTATGGCAGGAAATGCCTGTATCACATATGGGACAAGATTTAAAGCGGACATTGTGTCTGGCTCGATTTACACCGCGACCGTTAATTCAATGACATTTCTAATTGTGCGAGAACGCTGCACGCGAGGTTATATATATTTATGTATTTGGTTGTTGTTGATGTTTTGAGTTTTAAAAAAATTAAATACGGGGCAGTTATGGTCAAAGCGCCCGCTCGTCACGCCGAATACCCTGGTTCAGTTCTCCACATGGGTACAATGTTTGAAGCCCTTTTTGTGGTATCCCCAGATATTGCTGATATTGCTGGAATATTGCTAAAAGCGGCGTAAAACCATACTCTCTCACTCACTAGTGGTAAACGTTTTAAATCCCACTTCAAGCTTTCCTAAACCATAAAGATGAAAGCGGCTTTAAACCAGTTCAGTGACACTGCTGGAATATTGCGAAATATCTTACTCACACACATAAAAATAGACTAAGGCAAAGTAACATTTTGACCTTCAAAAAATAAAACACTTATAAAGCAGGATTACCATTGAACAATAAACATCAGCATGATTTCACGGAGAAAATACAAAGACGGTATTTATAGAATCCAATACAGTTCATAGCGTTAGAATCGATGTTCAGCAACCCATACGTATTGTAAGTGTTGTGACCCGTGAAGATCCGGGTTAAAATTGGTTTTCAGCAACCAACGCTTGTCGTAAGAGTTGTAAGCCGTTAAGATACGGGTTAGAATTGGTCTTCAGCAACCCACGCTTGTCGTAAGAGTTGTAAGACGTTAAGATACGGGTTAGAATTGGTCTTCAGCAACCCATGCTTGTCGTAAGAGTTGTAAGACGTTAAGATACGGGTTAGAATTGGTCTTCAGCAACCCACGCTTGTCGTAAGAGTTGTAAGACGTTAAGATACGGGTTAGAATTGGTCTTCGGCAACCCATGCTTGTCGTAAGAGTTGTAAGACGTTAAGATACGGGTTAAATTGGTCTTCAAACCCATGCTTGTCGTAAGAGTTGTAAGACGCTAAGATACGGGTTAAAATTGGTCTTCAGCAACCCACGCTTGTCGTAAGAGCTGTAAGACGTTAAGATACGGGTTAGAATTGGTCTTCAGCAACCCATGCTTGTCGTAAGAGTTGTAAGACGCTAAGATACGGGTTAAAATTGGTCTTCAGCAACCCACGCTTGTCGTAAGAGCTGTAAGACGTTAAGATACGGGTTAGAATTGGTCTTCAGCAACCCATGCTTGTCGTAAGAGTTGTAAGACGTTAAGATACGGGTTAGAATTGGTCTTCGGCAACCCACGCTTGTCGTAAGAGTTGTAAGACGTTAAGATACGGGTTAGAATTGGTCTTCAGCAACCCATGCTTGTCGTAAGAGTTGTAAGACGTTAAGATACGGGTTAAAATTGGTCTTCAGCAACCCATGCTTGTCGTAAGAGTTGTAAGACGCTAAGATACGGGTTAGAATTGGTCTTCAGCAACCCATGCTTGTCGTAAGAGTTGTAAGACGTTAAGATACGGGTTAGAATTGGTCTTCAGCAACCCATGCTTGTCGTAAGAGTTGTAAGACGTTAAGATACGGGTTAAATTGGTCTTCAGCAACCCATGCTTGTCGTAAGAGTTGTAAGACGTTAAGATACGGGTTAGAATTGGTCTTCAGCAACCCATGCTTGTCGTAAGAGTTGTAAGACGTTAAGATACGGGTTAGAATTGGTCTTCAGCAACCCATGCTTGTCGTAAGAGTTGTAAGACGTTAAGATACGGGTTAGAATTGGTCTTC